AATCCAATGTAAACTTGTAAACAAATCTCGCCAACACGCCAGCTGATTTTTCGCTCCGCACAGTGACGTCACAAGCGGTACTCTCGCCGCAGGGGGTCGTTTTGCTAGCCTCGGTAATTTCGTTTTTTTGTTTTCGATTTATCAGAAAAAATAAAGGGTTTCTAGATGTTTTAATGCTTAATACGTGTTTTGTGGACCTAAAACCACCACTTTTTATTGCAATTGAAAAATAGTGAACATCCCTATTGCCCCAGAAATTTTTGCATTTGGGGTAAATGTGTTGTACAATGGCAGGGTTATAGCGTTATAGTATAACACATTTGCCCCTTTATTGTTTCAGTATTGCTTTGGTGCGCAACTACAAAAGAAAGACCACCGATAATAAAAAATATACGAAGGACGATCTAGTATTAGCTATTGATGAAGCCAAAAGAACAACAATTTACAGAGCTTCTAAAATAAATGGAATTCCTTAAGTACGTTACATTACATTTCCGAATCAAAGGTATACGTGGAGCAAAGCAAGGCAAGAAGCTACCAGGACCATCAAGTATTTGCCAGCAGCGTGTGTTATTTGAAGATCTTTTGTTATCTGCAGTCAAACAAACTCCAAAACCATGTTTTGACAAGTACTCTTTCACTTTGTAATGTTTTGTTAATGTTTTAAAAAACTGCTTTTTTTGCCTCTAAATTTAAAAAGTTTATAACTTTTGTAATATTTGAGATATTTTGATCAATAAAAAATCGAAATGCGTCAAATATCCTATATTTATACATTTGCCCCAATAATTAATACACATGCATTGAATTTAAACATACAGCCCATTATCACATTTGCCCCGAACTCTGGGTAAATGTGATATAATGGGCTTGTTTCAAAAAAATACACCCTACAAAAAAAGTATAATAATATCTATTCTGAAAATACATTTCCAGACAATAAACATGTTAGAAATGTATTGTAATTTATTTCAAAATTTTAATGTTTATACTTTTCATTTGGCAGCGCTATAAATTCGAGCTAATGAAAAACTATATCACAATTACCCCATACTTCACCTTACCTACTTTTTGTTTCAAAATTAACACTGTTGACAGAGATATTTCTGAAAATTGTCGACCAACTAAAAGGCAAGTTCTAAAAATTGTCATGTCATTTTTTGACCCGTTAGCATAGCAGGTTTGATAGTCGATTTGTCTATTCGAGGCAGAATACTTATTCATTCAATATATTTGGCGCAGTGGCATCAGTTGGAATGACCGCATAGATGAAGAACTTTTTAAAGTATGGCAATTTTGGTTAAATTATCTTGAATTAGTTGCTCTATCTAAGCATTCCTCGACGTTATCATTCCGTATTTCTGAAGCTAAAAAGATGGAGTTACACGTGTTCAGTGATGCAAGTAAAAAGGTATGTGAATGTGCTGTTTACATAATATGAGTAACTACTTACCAAAGAAAAGATTGAAAATTCTTTTATCATGGCCCAGAGCAAAATTTTCTCAGGGAAAATTTTAACAAATACGTTTTGTTACCCTAGTTATTTTTTCACGAGTTTCCTTTGATCTGCAGTGAACCGGATGTCGGCTGCTGATGCATTTTTGCGAAAAAAATGTGGAACAGCAATGACTTTTTGACAACTTGAAAACGATTGAATGATTTTTTTGAAAATCGGCATTTGACACGGGAGCTTTAGTTTCAAAGTCAGGCCGAAATAGTGTATTTTCGCCAAGCGAGAATTTTTATTTCGACGTTCAGATAACATAGAAATCTCGATTTGATGAAATTTGTTTGATGGAAGTGATGGTTGCACCCTTTATGGTTGCATCGTTGGCCATCAGAGTTATTTCAGTGGTTTTGTGCATTTCTTTACCTTTTGGCGCCACGATGAGCTGATGCTTCAGGATTTTTCCTCGATTCGTTGGTGTTGTTGAGATGGATGAAGTTGAATCACGCCGTGTGTGTCATTTTGATCCCTAATTATGGGTACTTTTATCTATTGATAATAGAGAAAAGTCTGTTGCTGCTTCCAGCGTTACCTTGTGGCATTTTTTTTTTGCGTATACTGTACCTATACATATGTATTTTTCAACAAAATAAACAAATAATTTTTTAAAACATTATTGACACTTAAAATGAACCTGTCTGACTTTACATCTTGCGCAAAATCAGAGATGAGTTTGTTGGTTATCTACACGATCAAACTTGTTATAACCAACGAGTCTGTTCGATGGTCAAAGGGTATAACATTTACCTACGAGCGTGCGGTAAAATATTGTTCTTTACAGCACTTATTTGCAGGTGCGGAAAGTATCACTTTACCGCATAGTGTGCAGTAAAGTAGACTACATAGTGTGCGGTAAAGTAGGTACTTTTATATTCAAAAATCCCTTAAATTCCATAAATTTCAATAATGCCTTTTTTTCGGAGATGTATATGCTCGTAGGTGGAATTTTGTACCTACCACATGCGGAAAGTGCCTTTACCGCTCTTAACGGCTTGAACGCGCGTACTCAGCTTCGCGTCGTTCGGTCAACTGGCGATGGGTGCGGTGAAGTATCACTTTCCGTATTTGTTAGGTGAATAAAAAGGTAGGCGCAGACCGACGCAGGATTGTGATAGCGGGAGCGGGAACGGGAGCGATGTGTTAGATGCGGCAGCGACGAGTTTGCATAGTATGCACACCAACGCGATAGTTTCCGCCATACTCCAAACACGTGATAGCGTCCAAACAATACAAAAACATCATCAAACTATATGCGAACTGCGGAAAAACGCTGCACGCTGCGAACCTTAATTCATTCGCAGACATCCCGCAAATCGCATGCGTTCTCTTCGTACTGGTATGCTCTCCTTCATATCCCGCCATTGATTTGCGTCCCGCAAAAGTTTCGTTCCCGCTCCCGCTCCCGCAGTCCCGCGTTGGTCTGCGCCCACCTTAACTATTTCAATTGCCACAGCGCAAGTCCGTTTACTCTTTCGTGAGACAAAGATGATCGAAGGTGTCATGATGAGCGGTGACAGGTGACACGTAAACTAACTACTGGACAATGTTGTCAGGTCTTTTATTTTCTCCCTATTATTCTTGCGGCATAAAACATTTTTCTTAGTCATCTTGTTTACTCGAAAAAAATTTTGCAATTTGGCGCCACTAATCGTACCAGTGATGACGTATACAGCGTGTCGTTTCTCGCTTTGACTTAGGGTGTTTGCACCACAGATATTGCGCTGATTTTTGCTCTATGCATATTTGGTTTCAGTACATTATGTAACATTCTGAAACAACCCTTGTTTATATCTCGTTTGCATCTTCCTCTTTGCCTAATATGTTAATCAAAATTAAATAATATTTTTCATCATAAATGTATATTCCTAGCTGCGACCGTTGGCGCAAACCGCTAACGACACTGTTGAAAACGTCAGCAATGGTGCAACACCATATGAACTTGATTACAAAAATCCAGGCCGATGAGCAATAGTGTGTAATATCCTTGGTGTAGCCTAGCCGAGTTCAGAAATGAGCGCTTTCCAACGGTCTGTTTTTTAGAATGTTGAATTTATTACGCAACGACGATACGAGCAAACAGCAAACAGCCTAGTTCATGAAATCTTGAAACCGAAAAATACCGCGGTAAGCACCAATATAGTTATTTTCCTAACAAGTGCGCAAAGTGTTACTTTTTTTCATGAACGTATCCGAACTCCGCTTCGCGTCGTTCGTATAACTGTGTTTGCGTGCGGAAAAGACACTTTGCGCACAAACAGAGCTGTTCATCTTAAAGTGTTTAAATTTGATGAGAAAGTTTGTAGATTTTTGCATATAAATAGAGAACAAATCTGAACATGTGTCAAAGTTAATTTATATTTGGTGTTTGTATATAGATGTTGGCTGATATATCAATAAAAATAATTGATTTCTGTAAAAACTTTCTAGAGGTACTTTTCCAAGCAGAATTCAATAACCTACTCAATTTTTTTCCATTTAGTCCATGTTTCGAGATATTGACTAAAGTTCTATTTTTTTTAGTAGTATTGAGTATTTATTAAAGGGTAGGTATTGATAACTCACTGGATAGCTCTGTTCACAGTATTCATGAAAATCGGGAAACGGCCCCTGGCGACAAAACGGGTGGAGATATCAAAATACGGTCATGCACCATTAAAGATTTCATAAAATTTGAGCCTCAGAATGGCGGGCTATTTTTTTGTCTCACTCGGAAATTGATGTTTTCCATTAAAAGTGTCCAAATTGGCCCACCCTGTATGTACAGCTAGTAGGTAGGTATATGCGTCACTGAGCTTTAGTTAATAAATGAATAATATCAGTTGCCTTTCATTTTGGTGGACTTACTGAAGTTAGTAATACTGAGTTTATTTATTTATCCAAATCAAATCGTAAGATAACTCAATTTGAAGAAAGTCTCCTACTCCATTTTCCTCCTATTTAAATATAACTGGTACCTATTTGAGAGAAAATAGTACCTCATAAATTTTATTTGGCTTTATGTCCTCCCAACCCTTATCTATAGTTTTGGAAATGAGTAGGTACTATTATGTAGGTACCTAGTGTTTTTTTTATCAGGGCATACATTATTTGGCATGCACTAAACTCTGCCGGAGCTAATAACTATGAAGTTCTTTTTTATTAAAATTTTTTTTTTTCCCTCGTTTTTGCTTAGTATTTTCCTTTGATTAATTAAGAATTAAAATTTAAAAAAGCGTGACATTATGTTGTACCCTATCCTGTTATTTTAGCAGCTGATGTGTTATGGATAGGACCATCTATACCTACATGTCTGTATCTTGACGTATGGAATAAACAGTGACAGATAAGTTAACAGTTTCTTAACGTTTCTGTTGAAATAACAGAAAATGATACATTATCATGGGCCCGATTGTCGAGACTAAACTTGCCATTAAAGAGCTGATGGACAGAAAAAAACTATGGATTAGAACATTAAAAAATAAAAATAGATGAGAACTGAATATTCTTTACTAGTTTCGTCTGAGCCCTATCATACAGATAAAACTTTTTATATGATCTCCAAATGAGGTTCTATTCTGAGTACGAATCACTTATCACTCTATAATGTACGACAGGGCTTTATCCAGGTGGCCTAATACAATTTTGTTAGTAAACCCTATGGTTGAACGGCTTTTGTATTGATGATTTATCCGAAAACCAATATCCAGAAGAAGTCAGTGATAATAAATAGATTTTTTTGATCTTCATAATTCCGTGAACAGTTAGAGTTCCTTCAGTATCATGAGAATTCAAATTAAATCACTAATATTGTAAAATCTTGCATCATAAATGTTTACAAACTGGCTAGTTGCGATTTGGACCTACAGAAAATCGCACTACCTACCCACCTCATTCGGGCTACTATATACGAAGAAATTTATTAGGTAAGTACCTATAATAATGGAACATTATTATATTAAAAAAATTGTACAAGTAGATAGGTACTTTTCCATTTGCTAAGGCTAATAATAATAATCTGATCCTTCTGTGCCAATATTTTACCTATTCAAAAAATTAACACAATCACAATTATTTTATTAATGTAACATTATTCCAAATTTCTATTCTCCAACATCTGCTAGCTATACAAAATTCCTAAAATTACGAACATCTAACACGAAAAAAACTCAATCTTAGCCTATAGCTTTTCTATAACTTTGAAGTCAAAATTACCTACGCGCAAAACTTGGAAATTGTTTTTCGTCACAAATTCTGACATTCAAATCAGCCAATTAGAAGGGAGTAACGTCAACCGCAGAAAGCAGGAACGTTGCAGAATTTCTAATCTTTCACTAGCGCCACCATTGAGAATCAAGAAAAAACAACTTGAATGTTCTCAATACCTATGTTGTTAGTGAGTTGTTTCTCCGAGATTGGCGATGAAGGGTGTGGAGGTAGCTACATTTGTTTGCTTATTCGGTCCATGTCTGCTTAGTATCGTGGGAGATTGTCAAAATCATTATGTAAAGTTGTGGTGCTCTCGGTGTTATTTTTTCCACACATAGCGAATTGCCATAGTTTTTCATCTTCTCCAAATTCTTCGCCATCGGCTAAAGTAACTGGTAGGGTTTTGTTGAGGGTTTCTGGAAGGAACAGGCAAGCCATTGCACCTGAGATCATAAGCAATCCTGGAAATAACTATTAAATTTAAAATCAAACTTTTTTTTTTCAAATAGCTTACCTAAAATAATTTCTGGGGATGGTAACCAGAAATCAGCTAAATACAAAATTTGGGTACTAAAGAATGTAGCACCATATCCAGCTACATGTATCACAGCTACTCCCTGTCCCCTCACTACTGTAGGTAATAATTCAACTGCATATTGATGCCCTGAATTGTAAGCTATGTTTATTCCAAGCCTAGCGACAATAGCTAAAGTCAAAATAACTATTGGTTCTGGATTCTGAACAAATACTAAATAGATGCCCGCACATGCGGAGAAAGTACCACTAACTAAAAGGGAGCCACTTGCAAGAGCCTTTCTGCCAACAATATCCTGAACAGCTAAGATGAATACGCATGCTGGTAAAATGGTTGATGACGTTACTGTGAATACTACAAATGGTGACATACCAACTCCATTGACATTTTTTGATATAGCGTCATAGCAAAGTGATAATATCATCCTGAAATTACAAATATATCAGGCTCTACATAACACTATTGATAATAAATTAACTTCAAACTAAAACGAAACAAACTGTTTTCGAAAGAAAATCGCAATAATAGTTTATTAAAATGCATTTTAAAAGCAAATGCATCATCTATGTTTCAGTCCCAGCCTGAGAATTTTCAACATGGAACAGTAGGAATCATTAGTCAATGTCTAACGTTTACTTCAAAGGACAAGAGAAGAAAAATAGTTTTACTTTAAATTGTCACTTATTGGTCTTAACTACCTCGAGCATCAAGTTACTAAACTTTCAAGCTTCCTAATGCAAAATCTAATATTTGATCAATCTTTAAATGGAATATTTCATAATATTTAATTGATAAGCATTTATTCTTGGACTCGAATATTTAGAGTTTTTACTTACGATTTATAAATTAGTATTAAGGTTTTTCTTCTCAAATTTGGAGTCTTAACCAATCCAAAGAAATTTTCTGAATTTTCCTGCTTCTTGTTAATATGTTGGTTAGAATAAACTTTAAGACCTTCAATGGTTTTGGGATCTATTGTCTTCCTATTAATTTTAGCAATCCTTTGGAAACATTTGATAGCCTCCTCGGTTCTGCCCTTACTCAATAGCCATTGAGCACTCTCGGGCACGATAAAATAGAATAATAGTACTGGTACATGAGAGAAAGAAATAATTATCAAAAAATTTCTCCAGTTACCCACCCAGGAAGCCACCCATGGTATGGCCATACAAGATAAAGAGTAGAATAAACCGATACATATGTTTAGTCCAAAAGTTCTCATGCTTGGTCTGAGGTACTCCATAACTACAATGAATATAAATCATATACAGGATGTGATATAAAGCATAAAATTATATTTGCAATATACATATTAACGATATTTTACTTTAGGTGGATTAGAGGTAAGCATGACAGGATCATAATAAACCTCATGCAAAATGCCGTAAATGTCATTATTAGATGGTGTCTGCAGGAAAGTTGGAGCATCAACACCAGCAAAACCATAATTGTATCTTTTACAAGGAAAAGGAGACTAAATCTAACAGCTCAAACCCTGAGATACAAATCAACTTCGCGAGTGAAGTCAAATATCTGAGAGTCACCCTAACCAACATCTTAAAAGAGTAACCGACCGGGCAATACCCACATATTGGACATGCCGGAGATTATTCCGTTTCCAAGCTTACAAGCTTACACAAAATCATGCACGAAAAATATTTTTTTTCTCTAATCATCGTAACATCCACCGATTTCCATACGACCATTTCCATTATCATAGGCGATCACTCGATACCGAGTATGATAACCTATTGTCTGTATTATTATATTTAAATGAATACTTTCAATATGACTTCTATTTTATTCAAAATCGACAATACCCTTGACAATACAATTGGCTGGTCTTTACCTTTGGGTTATTAAAGGTAAGTAAGATCACCATACATCTTCCTTTTTTAAATGCAACAAAAATAAATATTACTAGTAACATACAAAAAAGATCAATAACATATTATTATATATTACATTAAATAATATTTGAATCTAGTGGGAAGAGGTCTCTTTCAGTTTTTATCTCTTGTATAATTTGTTTCATGTTGTTTGCTGTGGTTTTTCTGTGTATCTCTTTTATTTTGATCTTTTTTTATCATCGAAATAGTTGGATTAGAATCAGGCCTATTAATCGGTTGATGATCTGTCATGACCGGTTCAATAATTGCATTATTTTCTAGTAGTGGTTGTAAATGTCTTCTATCTCTTCTTAATATCTTATTATCAGTTTCCACCATGTAAGATCTTGGTTCAACTTTTCGTTTACTAACAATTTTTCCTTTTTTGTTTTCTGTTATTATAAAAACTCTCGTTCCTTCATTTAATTCATCTAACTCCTTTGCTCTATGTCGTTTATCATAATTTTTCTTCTGTTGTTACATTTCAGTTATCATATTTCTTCTAATTTATGATTCGGTAATGTAGGAATTAATTTTTTATCTAATACAGGCAAATTTTTCCTTAGATTTTGACCCATCATCAATTGAGCAGGTGACGCAGATTATCGGTTCAACTCCTGGATTTTTATGTTCAAGGCATTTTTCACAGTTATTAACTTTTTCTTCAATATGATTATTTATTGAAGGTTACCAAAGTATTTCCTTTGCTCGCGCCTTAGATCTTCTTGAATAAGCAGAGTGCAAATCTTTTAGACATTTTTTTCTTAAATTTTTGGGTATTACAATTCGATCTTGATATGTCAAAATTTCGTCAATTACAGCAAAATCTTTTTTAAATTTGTTTTCAACCTCCGCTAATAAATGTCGCTCAGTTCTTGTTGTATTGGTTTCTGCTGAATTTCGTGGAAGATGTATGTCTGTATGACCATATACCCATGAGCCCTATCTCCATTAGGTAAAAGCTGTTTAGTTGCCACCTAGTTGATTTCACACTTTTCTCAGAAAAATCAAAATTTTGAAAAAATATAATCATCGGATCAAACAATGCTTATGCCCAATTTGAGCCGATTCTGGTTTGAACTTTTTTTTTATTTCGCAGAATCAATTTCGCAAAAATCAACTAATCACCCCAAATCTGCCAAAAACTATCACATACTACTTCAGAATATTACAAAAAGTACCACGATTGGTATAAAAATACCATTTGTTTCCACAAACGTGTACATTAAGCTGAGCTACAACCGTGAAATCCTCCTAGCTATTGTTTGCCCAGCGGATCTGAGTCTACGAAAGGAATTCGGACGTAAATGTGCCATGTTGCCACGTTTAATTATAAAAAAGCGAAAATACTAGGCATGAGAATAGTTAATTTGAAAATCCATTTTTTAATGACAAAATATTGATAACAATAATAAAATGCTAAATATTTCAACGTGGTTGTTAGATCTATCCTTATTTTAATCCTGATTGCTTCAATTTGTTCTATTGTAAAAAATAAACATTTTCTAAAGATACCATCAGCTTTTGACAATTTGGCAAGCATGCGTCCTGGATGAACCTGATTGGTGAAGTTTTTGGCAGGATCGCCGTTGTCATGGGGAACCATACGGTTGTCAATGAGCTAACGTCACCTTACGTCTTGCCATTGGCCAGGGCTGACGTCATTTTATCCTCCCATCTTGGAATATCGGTTTATATTGAAATATCCAGTGGCGGAGATTTGGTCATTGCTGATTTTCGTGTACGAGTTACAATACGATAACACTTCCAAAAAGTTCCGCACGCAGCTGGGTATTTTATGAATGAAATCAGCCATTTTTTTTCACAACTGCATTCCCCTTACCGTTGCCCCGTAGACACAGACTCGCTGGGCAGACATTAGGAGTGTAGGTATTTATTTGATAATAATTATCATATCGCTAAACCCCTTATAACTTTGTTCAGATAATAAATTGAACTTTTCTGCATTAAATAATGTACCTTCCATGTACCTGGATCTGGAAGTCACTAGGCGGCAGAGCCATCCCGGTGATCAACCGAATCGAAAAAAAATCATCTTCGTTAAAGCAACAATAACAAGGCACAGGGCTTGATGGTAATGTATAAGAGATACATTCCAATTCGACATAAGTACCCAGATAAATTTAAAATTTCACGATAGAAAATTTTTACGCCACAGAACCTGTCAGAACTATACTTACCAATAATATACATCATAACAAAATTAGCATCTGTAGCACACCCAGCAATAAATCGACTAATAGAAAAAACAATTGCATTATTTGATAAAGTTGTGATTCCATTGCCAACAAAAGCAAACATATTAGCTAATACCAAGACATGAAGTCTTCCGATATTGTCCGCTAATACTCCTAGTACAATTCCCCCTAGAACTGAGCCGATAAAGAATACTGATTGACCTAATACTGGTTTCCAGCTATCTGAACATACCCAGTTCAGCTAAAAATATGTTATAGTATCTATTCATTAACATTAAATAGAATTAATTCAAGTTTTTACCTCCTGCACAATGCTTATGTATCCATATGTATTGGTGTCATTATAAACCCAACCCGTGTCGCACATTTCCTCCAAATATTTCGAACCATTTTTAAAAAATTCGATGGAACACTCCAAAGCTAACGTTTCTGTTTGGTTGTATGAAGTAGAGTTACATCTATATTCAGGAGTAAGACTGCTAAATGTTTGTCCAAAATAATGAAATGCTGATAAAATATTTATTATACTAAACAGGCAGGTTAATATTATTTGATATCTGGAAAAATCGCCAGCATAGGCGAGCATACGATCTACGTCGATTGTTTCGTCATTGGCCATGGTATCTAAAAAGAAAGTTTTTTTTGATTATACACTTTTCAAATAATTGAAGCATTGATTTATACAAGGTTATTGCCATATTAGATAGGTACTACTCATTTGCTTATTATTTTAACAAGACATTGAATTCGATCCAGAACATTCGCTATTCGATTGAAAAAAATCGAGGAAAAATATATTTTCCTTACGAAAAATCTCATGATTAAATTGGAAATTTACAGTGTTGTTAGAGAATTCCTTTTCGTTGATAATATCCGGCTGTAAATATCCTATATTTTTTGCAGTCGTAGTTGGAAATTGTTCTTCTCGAACACATTTCAAAAATTTTTCAAACTTTTTATGCTTTATCCTAAAACTTACAATTTGGTGGGAAAATATTATGTACTTATAAGCAAGAAATATACTTCCTGGTTAGTTCCATCATATTATTATATTAGGTCAAAATTTTAAAATTTTCCAGAAATTTTAATAATTTTAAAACATTTCACAGGATCAAATTCCCCTACTTTTGCACTCATCCAATTAGGATTATCTAACTTATTAAGAAGTGGATAATTATAAGTCATTCTAATTTGTAATAATTAATAACACTCATATTATTTTCTTGCTGATTTGGAGTCTAAGGCGACGTTCCGTAAGTTAACCAAGATTCTTGGTTTTTCCGGTTCCCGTACCGTAACCTAACCACTCCTGAAATCTGGTTAAGTTATGAAACGCGGTTCCTGAAAAATTCGGTCCCAACTGTCACCGAATCTACCGATCAAAAAGCTTTAGTTCTTTCAAGGTTGTTTCGGTTTGTTTTCAATTTTTGACATTTGTTTGTTAGGTTAGGTGATAATTTTTAAACTTTTTCGTTTTTCTTCTGCTTTCGAAGTGTATTCGCGGTGAAAATGGAACAAGGGGTAAATATCACATTCATTCATATCGATTTTTTACTACAAATATATTTTTAAGAGGATAATATTCTATCATCAAGCATCCAAGCCAAACCAAAGCTGAACCAAACCGTTCCACACTTAAACCGCATTTTCAGGACCCAGACTGTCACCATAGACGAACCGCTTCATACCGATCGGTAACTCTGGTTAAGATACGGAACGCCGCCTTAGGTTTTCGAGTTCGACACATGATTGCATTTTGCCAACAAAAAATTTGCCTATAAACGTACTTATCAAAATATTTTCATTATATTTACTTTATATTTATTGTTCATTTTACCAAAATGCCTTTTCAAGAACGTCACTACATTTACCTTCTAATTCTGATGCACTTTTCCAAGGCTTTTTCTTATAGTTATCTACTCAAAGACGCGGGATAAAAATATTTCAAAAGAGAACATTACTCAAAGCCTTTTATCACCATTTAAATAAAATATAACTTATATTTTATTTACTGCAATCCATTCCAGTTTGTTCCACAGACAGTGTGTATGTGGAACATTATATTCGCAAATAATAAAACATTGGTAACAGCCATGAACAAATTATTATTATATTTCCATTTTGAATTGGAACTGGTATTTTGCTTGTTGAGACTAAAATAATGAAATATAAAAATGATAAAACATTGATTTTTTGGAAAAATCGCCCAGGGATTTGCTGTACTGATTATCCGTAATAAAACGGTCACAAAAAACATTTCACGAAAATAAAATTGTATAGATATATTTATTTTAAATATCCGAGGATATTTTTGCACTAAGTAGTGGTTTTAATGCTTACAGTTTACAGAATTCCATATCTAAAATTTTTTTTTGAGAGTTAATTTAGCCACATTTTCTTTTGAGTGACTTTTCAAATAATAATATGCCTACTTCCAAAGGGTATGGTTCTTCGTCATACTCGTGATCAAGTTGGTCATCCCAACTCTATGCTTCTCAAATAAGTCTCCTCAGGAAGGCATTCCTCAAAGTCTACTTACGCCTGAGTGGTTCTTTTTTCCATGGACTGACGTCACGGGAAAAAGAAGATTGGTCACTTGTTGACTGCCATACTGTCAGCCGAGTTGTCTGCGCCAGCGCGGACTGTCGCAGCACTCATAATATTTCTTATTGCAGGAATCTGTTTGGGGGATAATATTGAGCTTTGTTCTCTTTTTTTTTTTCTTCTTGGCTCGCCAATTTTTTCTTTCGCCAGTTTGTTATGGCGATCTATTGCCGATTTCCTTTAGCCATACTCTACAGTCACGTTTGTGATGTCCTGTTCTTCTGCAGAGGTAGCATTCGGTGCCCTATTTCAAGTTTCTCATTGATGGATAAAAGCTACCAGAAGGAGAGATCACAGGCGTACTCTACAGTCACGGTCAAAAAGTTTTATTATGCAGCGTTAGCATTCGGTGCATCCTTTCAGATTCCCTCGATTGAATATTCTGATAACAACCTGTTACGATAAATTTATCATTTACGTAACATGTTCCATCCCTTCCAGAATCGGCAGAATGATAATTCATAACTTAAGTAATTTAAAAGTATGTGCAAAGTTTGATTGATTCAATATAATATCAGTACTGCTATCTATCCATAATGAGCATAAAAATGCAAATATCTGTTATTAAAAGAAGGTACCGCCATCTAGTACCTGATAGATTTATTTTTTAAAATAAGATTTTTATTATTTCTCATTGACAGTCATTCGTATTTTCATTTAAAGAAATTATATTTATCTCACTTTCAGCAAATAGATATATTTCTGTCTTTCTCTAACTTCTGATTCTAAAATGATTATTTTTGGCTAAATGACCTAATTAATTAGTGGTTTTCTGTTTTCAACATAACCTTAATTTAAATTATTTTAATTTATAAACAAATAAAATAACACTAGTTTTATCTATTTCCTTTTAATAAACGTGGTGTTTCATTGATTAGGTGAGCACGGTCTTTCGTGTATGTTGAGTGTTGTCTTCTGATTGGTCCATGGTTACTACGCAGTTAAGTATAAAAAAACACAAGATTGGTTTCTTGCAGGGTTTTGCTTCTAAAACGGTCTATTTTCTGGCTGACCACTAAACAGGCGAGTCGATTTCATTTTTGTATTTTTTTTTTACATTTCTAGATTTTCCCTTGATATTTTTCAATTTATTTTACCATCAGTGTATACTATCATATCACTGTTGAGTTTTTACCCGATAAATCTTATCTTATCTACCTTTAGAATATAAATATTATATTTTTTTTTTTTTTATCTAATTGTGTGCCTCCATTTTGTGATTGGTGTCCCACGTTTTTCCGAGGTGAGTCAATTGAGAGTTTTGGGCTAATATATAGGTACAGTTGCTTTGGTTTTCGGAATCAATTGTTAGTGTGAAATTATTGGACTCTAAATAGAGTCGGTGAACCAAATTTCTGTGTCCATCCCTAAAAACACTTTACCGAATCCAGGCAGAGGCCTGTATAGCTATTTATTGTTTGACTCCTTCAATTATCTTCTCGAGTAGGAAGGAATACTTTTTCCAATTTGCAATAGTTGCTCATACTTTCCTGATTCTATTGGAAAGGAGTGTCTGCACAACAATGGTTTTATAATAAACTAATTTTAATTAAAATCTTCTTTGCAAGACACTCGCTTTTTGACAGAATTCAGAGATTTAATATTCCAAATCTCGGTGAATCTGATACTGCCTTATTCTTTTCTGGGTACCAACTCGACATAAATGATCACTGTTTGGAATCTGGATCAGCTAGAGTGACGTCACACCAGCAATCTATTCTCTTTCCTGGATACAGGAAACAACACGAAGAGCTCCAGTTCACGGAAGTGAAACCCCAACATCTATTGAAGAGCTCCGAATTGGAAAGGTACAAATTGTATCAGATTCACCAGAACAACCAAACTGTTAACTGTCAAATTTTAAAGAAAAGTAACATTGGTACTACATTTTAAACAAACATAAAATAAAATAATTGTTTGTTGGATTTTGAGTGTTTTCATTTGCACATAAAGGGGCTACACGTTATCTTTATTTTTGAATTCCACGACCCTATAGGTTCTCTTGTCTTAAAGTGCAAATAACAAGCTTATTTGTAACAAACCTTCCGCATTTCTTCCAGAAGTTTTTTCATCATTGTGTCTTTCATTTCTCCTTTTTCTTCTCGTTATGAGAAAGTTTTGATCGTTGATTTTCAGCGCATTGACGAGACCTTCGCCGATGCTTGATGATTTAGGTATGAGCATTCTCCGTACATTCATTTCTCTAATTCCGTTGATGAACTTTTGAGTCGCTAGTTGTTCTCGTGATCTTGCTGTTGCTTCCGGATAGGCTAAATTAATTAGACGGCGGATATCTGTTCTCGTGCACATTCCATAACATTCTCTTTTGTTGTTCTTACCTTCACCTGGTACAGCTGCCGTCAATGTTGATACTTATAACGATGCTCTTATAAATCAGCAAACGCAACATGGTTTTGTTCCAAGCTGAAGGAAGAGTCTCTAATAATAGATCTAAGGCAAGGCTACGCAGTGCTATAATATAATTTCCTGATCGCAAATCACATGCCAACTTTACAATTTTCTTCTGGCTCCATTTTTTGGGAGGTATATCCTTGGAGTTAACTCCACCTCTAGTTCTGAGAGGAAGTTGGCGGAGTTGCCCATAGGAATTCCTCAGGGCAATATCATGGGACCCATTTTCTTCCAGGTACCTATATAGAAATATCTCTGGAATTCCCGTGAATTCGTGTTTCTTCAAATTACATATTATATTTTTTATTAATGGGTTAGTAGTAATTTTTGTTCATACTATGCCTATCCAGAATTATATCAACAAAATTTGGCAATCTTTTCATTACAATATGAGTGATCGTGTCAGTACTAACCATTTCGAACATAAAGTTAAGGTAATCCTTTTTATTTTATCTACCAAAGGAGTCATTTATAAGTGTATCCTAATCGATCTTTGAGAGATATTTAAAAAAATCAGATAGAAGTAATAAAAGTTTGGTTTATTATTCTCCTGGAACTTATAGCTTAAATAGAGATAGATAGAAGGGCTCTTCTATTAAATTTATTTT